GTGTATCTCTTTAGGCGGCTGGACAAGGCTTGGAGCCTCTGTTTGGCAGTCTCGAGTGCTTCAGGTATGAGCATCTGCCTGTACTTTCTGGGTACTGGTCTTTTCATTGCACCCTTGTGGAGCTCTGACAGTTGGCTCACTTCCCTCCTTGTTACCTTGATTTTAGCCTCTAACCGTCTTTTCCATGGTGGGTATTGGGTCTCATGGTTGCTCTTATAGCCAAGTATCTCAAGGATCACTGATGCTGAGTTGTAGATCAGCTCATTGGTTTCTGTTATGGTGTTGGTAGGGATCGTTCTCAATGCTGCATTCACATTCTCAATGAGACTTTCTGATGGTACTTCACTCAGCCGTTGTAATTGGGTCATGATTCTCTCTCTCAGGTCAGCAGCTGTCTCGTTCAGCTCTGTTTCGCTCATTGGGGCCGTGTATCCCCTCACTGGGTGGGGACTTGTAGTTAAGTCCCCACAGTTCTGACATCCGGGTTCCTCCCTTTTGCCGTAGCATTTGTGTTGTATCTCGTCAATCTCAAGTTGTGATAGCAGTTGCCGTTTGCGGATGTTGGAACACTGAGCTACTAGTTGTTTAGCGCTTAGTGTTGACTGGGGATGTCGAAGTAACCATTCCTTCCCCAGTCTTTGCATGTAACCCCTCTGACTAGGGTTACTTGAGTAGTAGCATTCCAACAGATCCACATTTTCATCTCTCGCCCATTTCCGTCTTGTTCCAGTAGCCCATTTGTCATCAAGGTGCTCTGGTTCCCCAACACCTGACGCAGACCTTGTTTGGCCGGGCGACGTCTGAGCCGGCATGTTATGCAACTTAGTATCTCTCATGGTATGAGGTAGGCAGTAGCTTGAAGGGTCTTGCCTAAGGACCCAGACTGGATTCGAACCCTGCCCTCTTGGGTGATATACTGATGCCTTATGTATTGAGCTATCCAGTCAGCTATATATATATGGCAACGAGTCTGTGTGTATTAATGTTCAAACAATAATGAAAAGAATGTGCATTTCTGTTATTGATATGAAGATCTGGAATAAACTCAATAAGGATGAACAGGGGTGATGAATGTGGCTGGGAGTTACAGCACTGTGGATGACTTTGGCAACTGGGTGCAGGTTTGTGTATGTGTGTGAATATATGTGGATGTATAAATAGGTATATATTATTTATTCATATGTGCAGGTAGATGCTTATGTATATATATGGATGTATGTATTACTTGCATCTAGTTCAGGAAATAGTATTATAATTATCATTATTTTTTATTTGTTTGTTTTTGAAAGGATACTGGAAACAGGAAGACTATTTATGCTATAAATGAATGAATGGAAAAGGGGTATGATTATAAAAGTTAAACTTCATCATACTCTTTTTCAGACTCACTGTCACTGAATAAGTGGGTATTTGGTTATGTAAATTTGATAGTAAGGTATTGTATTTACACTTAGAAACATGAAAGTCTTTATTATTATTATATTTTGTGTTGTTGGTGAAATGTCTGTCTGAAATAAATTGTCATCATTCTCAAAGTGCTAGAAACAACCAATCAGTGACAGGAGAGTTTTAGTGCAATTTTAGTGAGAAGGGAATTTATTTATTTTTTTTTTTTTTCATATAACATGACATAACATAGATCTACACACTGGACATTACATAGATTAAATATACACAGATGGATGTTTAAAAGCCTGTTTTTCTGTTAATTATGATATTTTATGTGTAGGTAGTGAAAATGTGACATTTAAAATTAGATTACGTCAGAGCATTAAAAACATAATACAGAAATTTGGGCTTAGTGAAAAGTATGTTTCATACCTGCTTAAAGGTGTTTTTAAACTAAAAAATAAGACTCATCTGAACATGTGTACTTAATCATTGAATGGATGTGTAATGAAAACATTCAATAAAATCCAAACATAACTTCTTGATTGTAAAGAAAAAATAAATACTTTTGTGACTCTCAGTTAGTTATTCTAGAAGACTAGCTCTACGCAGGAAGCTTGTAATGAATCAGATCACATCCGAAGAATAACTCTGTTCATGAATTACAGTTTGGTAAAGAAGATGTCCAGATGTGTCCTTTGTGTTGTTCATTTTGAGAAGTTTCCTTCTTTGCACAATTCACTCACCAAACAGCAGCGGTGTTACCACGGCAGCAGCCTGCTGGCGTCTCGACTGGCTGGGAACAATAGAAATCCAGAAAGATGCTCTAAACTAAATCTAATGATGTCATTAATACACATGAAACAAACATAAACTTCACATTTATTTGAAAAACAAAACAAAAAACAACTTCCTCAAAGTAGCTAAAAAATAACATGGTAAAGAGTTTATAACATTCTACAAGAAAAATAAAAGATTAGCTGATTTTCTATGCAAGGTATGGACTGCTTCTTATTTAGCAAACGTAAAAAAAAACAAAAATGCATTTCATTCTAACAACAACTGATCCATCTTTAAACATGACATTTTAATGAATTTGTCCTAATAAAAACAACACATACAAAACTAACATTAAAGTGTAATTCATAATAACATGACAATTTTGGAAAGAAATGTAGAAATCTGTTTTTCAAAACTTTTATATACATTATTTTCAGATCATTAGAATATTGGATCAATTATTCTCTGTCCAACATGTAATTTTCTCATAGAGAGTTAAAAAATACTCAGCCACAGTGGCGACAAACTTGAAACTCAATTCATTTAACTCAGGGTTAAATTGCCACGCCAATATTGAACAAAATGTAAGAAAATGCTTTTTGTTTGAAAACTATGTTGGATATTCTGTGTCAATGGTAAGATTGGACTGAGAATTGATTTATTTTAAAGCAGAAATGAACGTTCTGCTGTGAATGAATGTTAACTGCTGACGTGTGTTAAATCAGATTCACTTTTTGTACCAACTAAATCCTGTTAGGGTCATGGGGAGTTGGCACATAGCTCAGCTGTCAAGCAAAAGGTCATCACCCAGTCACCATCACGACACAGATAAATGGCAATCATCTCACACACAAAGAAACAGGGAAGATTTACAGAAAGACAATTTAATCTTCTTTTTCCAGAAGACCCACATATTTAAAATAAACTATGAAGAGAAAGACCTCAGCTCTGATCTGACCTGAAACCATCGTGCAGCTCGAAGCAAAACAAACAAAAAGTTTATGAAATGAGAAATAAAAACAATAGCTCACTGTGTGGGCACAGCTGCAAATGTCATTATCACACAAACAGTCTAGGACACATGTGGAGGTATAAAATGTGTATAAAATACTGAATACAATGATATTTGTTAAAAACATCTGGGGCCTCATGCATAAAGCGTGCATGCGCACAAAAAATGTGGGGCTCCATATTTTACGCACAGGTTGGCAGATATAAAACTTTGCGTCTAAGTTTGCATAAATATGGCGTGCAAACGTCCAAATGTTTCTGTGAACAATATCAAACTACAAAGCGTCAAAACTCACCTAATACACAGAAATCTGACTACATCCAATGTTATTTAGACCAAGATTCAAACCTGATGCTTTTCATGATTTTAATATTTAGTGTTTAAACATAAATGATGAAACTGAACCGCATTTGTCCTCAGACAATAACCTAACACACACACAAAATACAGGAAATAAAATAAAAGTAGTGAAAACCTCACTTGAATGTAAATAGTACTTTTTATCAGCTTCTGTCTCATAAAGATGTAACGCATGAATGGGGTCATTTCATTCTCATTAAAATTAGATCAGCAGATTAACTGAAACCTGCTGATTAAAAATAATCAGCAGGTTCCTGCAGGATATTTTAAGGTGATCAAGGTGTGTATGCAATCACACGTGTATAAGTAGCTGCATAAAGGTGAGCAGCAACTGTGGAGCTTTGGCTCTGATCACCAATGGAAGGATTCAGAGGGAGCCATTGATCAGAGATCATATTGATCTGCTGGGAAATATTGATGATGGTTTATGAGCGTTTAGATTCATCCAGACTGGTTATCCTGGAGCTCTGAGCAAAAGAGTCGTTCGGTACCGGTACCGGCCCAGCTGCAGTCATCCTTCAGTCGATTCGCCCGCTTTGTGAAAGCGCCTTATGGACATGAAGCGTTCAAGTATTTAGAATAATCGTCCACATTCCACTCAAAGGCCTCTGACTGTGTGTCTGTCTTTAAATCCCGGCTCAACGCTGCTGATTTGTAGGATCTCTTTATTTTGTTCATTTGGATTTTTTTGATTTCTTTAAACTGCATTTTTATTTTTGCTAGGTGACATTATGTGGCCTCAAAGCACATTTTAAATAAAATATAGAAGTATTATTATTATAAATATTTAGACTGCGTCGAACAATGACGTTACCATGGTTTCTAGCTTCACGTGGTGGCAGACTTCCGGGTATTTATTCTATTTTATATATGTATTTATTCTAATTCATATATGTATTTATTCTAATTCATATATGTATTTATTCTAATTCATATATGTATTTATTCTAATTCATATATGTATTTATTCTAATTCATATATGTATTTATTCTAATTCATATATGTATTTATTCTAATTCATATATGTATTTATTCTATTTTATATATGTATTTATTCTAATTCATATATGTATTTATTCTAATTCATATATGTATTTATTCTAATTCATATATGTATTTATTCTAATTCATATATGTATTTATTCTAATTCATATATGTATTTATTCTAATTCATATATGTATTTATTCTAATTCATATATGTATTTATTCTAATTCATATATGTATTTATTCTAATTCATATATGTATTTATTCTAATTCATATATGTATTTATTCTAATTCATATATGTATTTATTCTAATTCATATATGTATTTGTGGCGGCAGGGCGGAGCAGCAGTTGCGCTTTATTTCATAGGTGCGAAACCTGACTAATGAAGGAAAGGTGCGCGCGCACGTGCACAGGCACGTGCGCGCGCACGGTTTCATACAGCCGATTGTTTTCTACATTTTTCCGTACGCCAAGTTTTAATGTGAAAACTACGCACTCTTCTATGCATGAGGCCCCTGATAATCACATAAACTGGGCTTTATTCACACATGGCAAAACCTCCAGTACATCAAATCCACAGTCAAAGATGTAGAAAGTACCGTATTTTCTGGACTATAAGTCGCAGTTTTTTTCATAGTTTGGCCGGGGGTGCGACTTATACTCCAGTGCGACTTATAGTCCGGAAAATACGGTAGTTGAAGTTAATAGGTGGATTCTTACTGTGGATGAAAACAAATGACTCTACTGTAGTTCAGTGTAGTGTACAAGTGTTGATTGGCTCAAAGCAACAGTTGATTTAGTGAAAAATATATTAATTAAAAAAATGTATACAAATTTTATGTGCGATTGGATTTCTCTATATACACATTAGTCAGAAAACATCAAGATCTTTTCCATGATAAAAACCTTAAAAAGTTCTGGCTCACATAAATTTATCAGTTACAGTTTTCTTTCTTTCTTTTTTTTTTTTTTGAAATAACAAGCAAACATCAACAAACACAAATACTTGGTTATTCTTTTGCCACTGTTGCATTCTGTAATCCATGATGGAAGCCATAGTCTGGTGAGCAAAGCCCTGCTGAGGAAAGTGGTAGGAAGGTTACAGTCAGAAGTTTGTCCCTGTCACCGTCCAATCACTAAGCAGCTACTGTATTTACAGTATGCTGTTGCTTATGCTGCTGCGCATGTTTCCTCCTCTGACAGAAGACATACAAAGCTGTGAGGGGAATACAGCTCACTGACGATACCAAGAGCAGACCGATGAAAGCCTGACCGAAGAGAGGATACTCCATCTGCTCGGTTTTCCCCTACAGACACAACACAAGCAGTTAATACCCAACTTTATTCCAACTCAGACACAGATGACTAATATTTAAGCAAAATTTGAAATAATTGTGGGTTTCATGAAACAATTCTCAAATGTAAAGAGATGCAGCAAGATGCAAAGGTTTATGACAGAATTTAGTGTTTTACAGTTTTAAAGGGAAATGTGATGTGAGAGCTATGGATGTCATCCTCATATTACAGTTTTAGTTCCAGCGATGTGGGTGCAGTCCTTTAAAAAGACCAGTCTGGACCTACTTTTCATATAACAAGTCCAATCATTTCAATGGCAACGCCTTTAAAATTTGACAAAACCCAAAACGCCACTTTTCATGTTACAAGCTCAGCAATGCTATTGAAAAAGCTGTTCCAGCAGGCAACCAGCTTCTCACCACTTTCATGTTGTAATAGCCGTAATTGTGTAGTGTCTCTTTAAGACACTGTAGTATTGCTAATGATGTCACAAGTATGCGACACCGCTCCTCTGTAGAGAGCGATGGAAGAACGTGCTACAGCCGCTGGACATGTTAGCTTCCTAACTCTTAGTAACGCTACTGGTTGTTTGAATTCTGCTTCTTTTCATGTTTGGACTTCTAGCTGCCGTTCAACGGGCTTCGTCAGTCAGGTTGGTGAAGAGAGTTTATTAAAGGACAACACCGTGGAGTTCGCGGTACCAGTGTGGTGGTGAGTGTTTGACCGTCCTCTCTTCCCTTAAACACAACCCAAGCGTTACAATGTCTTTCAGTCCAGTTTCTGGGCTCCCTACAGAACTGAGACTGGCCTCATCAAATGTGCAATGACATCCTCATGCTACAAAATGCTTGTTATTGTCATTGTTGGACCTCAGCAGCATTTAACACTGTTGACCATGACTGGAGCAGCTGGAGAGCTGGGTAGGACTCTGGTCCAATATTTTCCAATATAGAGTCTATTCACCACGTTTCCTACAGCCTAGAGACATCCTGGATGAGGTGAAGCTAAGAGACACCTAGCTGAAGTTGGTTTCTGATTTGGGAAATGGCTAAAGGACGATTCTACCTATTTTTTCACAATTTTCAGTGTCTTTCATCTACCCTAGCTAAAAAACGACCTAAATTCTTGAAACCTAGACTAGGTTATTCTGCCCTGATGACCACCTCATTAAAATTTCTAATAGCAGAATATTTTAAACCAAGTCTGTGGTTTGTGAAACTTCAATAAAGGGTGATTTCAGTATTTTATGCACATCTGGACCACATAAGAACTGAACTCCTCCTTCTCAGCAGTATTGTTGTCGTTTTTTTTACATTGAGTGTAGCAAAATATAATCCTGGCTATAAAACAATATGGTATGCTCAGTTTATTATTCAAAGTAGTTAAAAATGCTCATTACTAAGAAAACCCAGCAGATTACATCCAGTCATTGACTTGCAGCATTCACTCCTGAAACCACAGGTAGTGACATGCATTCAGGGACAATTAAACAGAGTACAATCAGAAAAAATATTCAGAAAGGTGGTTTAGTGGTAGAGTATCTTGTGCACCAAATGAGAAGTCTACACTCAATCAGTTTTGGATGTAAAACAGCCCATAAATGCACTGGAAACATGAAAGCACTAAAAGCAGGGATGATGCAGTGGAATAAACTGAGCATGGCCAAATAGAGCAGAGGTGAGAGAATTAGACTGACTGAAGCTCTGAGCGTTGTAACGCTTGGGTTGTGTTTAAGAGTGAAGAGGAGACGGCAGACTCATCAGGACGGTTAAACACCCACAACCACACTGGTACTGGGAATTCCACAGTGTTGTCCTTTAATAAACTCTCTTCACCAACCTTACAAAGCCCGGTTGAACAGCTGCTATGTTATCAAACATGAAAAGGAGCAGGGTTCTCACAACCAGTAGCGTCACTAAGAGTTAGGAAGCTAACATGTCTCGCTGCTGTAGCATGTCCTTCCCTCGTTCTCTACAGAGAAACTGAGTCGCATACTTGTGACATCATCAGCAATACTACAGTATCTTAAAGAGACACTACACAATTACAGCTGTTACATATTCCCCCCTGGTCAAAAAAATGGCTGCCCTCAGCCAAACATAGCAAGGGTACAGTTGAGACTTAACAAGCCACCATACATGGACAAGCTGTTAAAAGAAGACAGGGAATATACATGACATATATAACAGTTTCCAACAAATGGAATGTCTGTTTGGACAAATACGGCAAAATGAAATAAACTTAAGGCATTCAGGACAACTGCAAAATCAATTCCCGTTTTGTACTTTTTGTTTTGTTTTTGCACATGCTAGAACAATTAGCACAATATGTGAGAACCATTTAAACATGACCCATATAAAACTTAAGTAACAGTCACATAACACCAGTGAACACAGAGAACCATAGAATGCTAACAAGGTCACTTCAGGTCAAACCTGGAGGTATGAAAAGGGTTGGTCCACGTATTGACCGATCAGTCAGTGGTGACCCTTGGAATACGCCTTGGTCTAAAGTTATAAGGAACACTGGCAGCACACCCATTATTAGCAGGGGGTGAAACCGGTAACATCTGTCCCTAAAGCAGTGTCAGCATAGTCAAAGTCAGTTTCAGCTGGGACGTCGCTAGAGAGAACAACAGTGTCGACAACGTCACAGGCAGGCTCTGGGTCCCAAACAGCAGAAGCTTGTTGCTTCGCGCGTTTGTCAGAGGAAGCTGTTTGCCCAGGTGTAGAATGGTTGAAGATTTGCAACATGAAAGACTCCAGCCTTCTCTCCAGTGTCAGCTCTGGTCAGACCATAGTTCACATCAGACATCCTTTTGTAGATACGGTAGGGACCCGTGTAGAGAGGTGCCAGCTTTGCTGAAAAGTTAGATGCTGCATCTGACTTTGGATGAGATTTTGCTCTGACCAAATCTCCAACTTTAAAAGAGACTGGGCGCCGTCTTAGATCATAGTAATGCTTTCGTCTTGAATGACTTTCTGCGAGAGCGGTACGAGCATGGTCGTGAGCATCTTGAATTGAGGCCCTCAGGTGATCTGAGTAAGAAGTTCCCGGATCGTCCATTCCTTCCCACGACGGCTGAGTGATGAGGTCCAAGGGAGTGTCCAACTCTCGTCCATATAGCATCATTGATGGGCTCAAGCCCGTACTCTCGTGGGGCGCAGTACGCAGAGCGAAACAGATCTGGGGAAGATATTTGTCCCAGGAAGTGTGCTTATCCTCAATATACGCTCGAATGGCTGTTTTCAAAGTGCGGTTCACCCGTTCAGTTGCGTTAGTTTGAGGATGGTAGGCATTGTCAGTCTGTGTTCAGTTCCAAGTGTTGACACAACATGCTCAAACAGGTCACTGATGAAAGGTGTTCCCCTGTCTGAAATAAGGTATGATGGAGAACCATGTCTGGCAAATACGTCGGTGATGAACTTATTTGCGGCAACTTGAGCTGTTGCTTCCCTGACAGCACTCACTTCAATCCATTTGGAGAAATAGTCAATGAAAACAAGAATATATGAATTTCCCCTTTGTGTGCGTGGTAGTGGGCCAATGTAGTCCACACCAGTGTACTCCCATGGTCTCTGTGGTTGGATTGGGACCATCAGACCTGCTGGTTTTCTTTGGGATGGCTTATTGATTTGGCATGAACAACATGACACCACATATTTCTTTACATCAGAGTTCATGTTTGGCCAGAAGAATCTGAGACTCAAACGTGCCAGAGTTTTGCAGTGCCCAGATGTCCAGCCGTAGGATGATCGTGGTAATACTTGAGCAGATGACCACGGAGTGAAGAAGGAGCAAAAAGTTTAATCTGCTTGAGTGGGTGAAGATCACACCTTGTTTTCGGATCAATGAAATATAAGAGTCCATCTTGTACAATGTACTTTTGCAGATCTAAATTAGTCCCCTCACCCTCTTGGTCATTTTCGAGTTGACGGAGCAAGGTGCCTGTGACTGGGTCCTCCAGCTGCAACTGACGAACATGAGGACGACCAGACACAATCACAGAAGGCAGAGCACGAAGATCCATGCTTCCAATCATGGCAGGGAGGAAGAATATCTATCGGTGCAATCACCCTCTGGAAGTGGGTTACGTGAAAGAGCATCAGGCACCTTATTACGTTTCCGGTTTGTGGATGATGCTGAAGTCGAAGTCTTGAAGGCGTAGGGACCACCTGGCAAGCCTACCGGAGGGATTGGGTCGAGACATCAACCACTTGAGGCTGCTGTGGTCGGTGTAAATAGTTACATGCAGACCTTCGACATAGGGACGGAAATGTTCCAATGCCCATATAACAGCCACATTCTTTTTCTGGAGTCGAGTAGGGCTTTTCTGACTTATGCAGCGCGCGGCTAGCAAAAGCCACAGCTACATCCTTGCCATCCTCATCCTTCTGCATCAATGCTGCTCCCAGTCCAGCATCACAAGCATCAGTGTGGATGAAGAACGGACGCGTAAAATCTGGGAACTGTAGGACTGGTGCCGAAGTTATGGAATGTTTTAGAAAGTCCACAGCTGTTTGGCACCCGTCACTCCAGCTGAACGGCACGTCTTTCTTGGTGAGTGCGAAGAGGGGTTCTGCATGATTGGCATAGTTTTGCACAAAGCGGCGGTAGTAACCTGTTAAGCCAAGGAACTGTCGCACCTGTTTTGTCGTGGTTGGCACTTTAAACTCAGTTACCGCTCTCACCTTGTCAGGGTCGGGATGAATGCCCAATGGTGTAACACGGTACCGAGGAAGGTGAGTTCAGTAAGGCAGAATTGGCATTTACTCAGTTTCAATGAGAGGCCAGCAGATTTGAGCCTGCAAAGGACCTCCTCTAGGTCAAGGAGATGCTGCTCGAAAGTTGGTGATGCGACAACGATATCATCCAGATACACTGCACACGACTTATAAATCAGGCCAGCCAGAACATTATTCATAAGTCGTTGAAAAGTTGCAGGGGCATTACATAAGCCGAACGGAAGGACTTTGAATTGAAACAGGCCACAATGTGTGATGAAAGCAGT